TGTGCCCATAAAGTGTATTTATTTTTAACTAAGACTTTATCCTGAGGATGTAACTAAACTTTATCAACTAATTTTCCTTTTTTAAGCCACTTTCCTGTTTCCCTATGGAAGGTCTTCAGGGTCACAGTTCAATATTCTTTTCTTTGTTTCTCTCTCTTGGGTTTCCAAAATTAATTCTGTCTATTGTTTTGGTTAAAACAGTGCATTGACAGGGAACTGCCAGTGATTCAAGCTGGAATCAGATGAGGATGTGAAACGAGGAATATTATTGCTGACATCATTGGCTGAAAGCAGAGAATACCAGAAAGATGTCTACCTGTGCTTTATTGACTACGCAAAGGCTTTCACTTATATGGATCATGACACACTATGGACAACAATGTGGGAAATGAGTATTCTGGAACACTTAATTGTGCTCATGAGGAACCTGTACATTAGTTGTTTGAACAGAACAAGGGGACTCTGAATGGTTTAAAATTAGGAAAAGGTGTGCACCAGAGTTGTATTCTTTCATCATACTTATTCTGTCAATATACTGAGCAAATAATTTGAAACACAGGATTAGATGAAGAAAAATGTGGCATCAAGATTGGAGGAAGACTCATTAACAACCCACAATATGCAGATGATACAACCCTGCTTGTTGAAAGTGAAGAGGACTTAAAATATTTACTGATGAAGATCAGAGACCATAAACATTCAGTATGGGTTGCATCTCAATGTAAAGAAAGCAAAACTTCTTACCATTGGACCAATAAATAGTATCAAGATAAATGGAGAAAAGATTGAAATTGTCTGAGTCTTCATTTTGCTCGGCTCAACCATGAACACTAATGGAAGCAGCAGTCAAGAAGTCAAATGACATTTTGCACTGGGCAAATCTACTGCACAAGATCTTTTTAAAGTGTTCAAGGGCAAAGATGTCAGTTTGAGAACCAAGGTGCACCTAACCCAAGCCATGGTATTTTCAATAGCTTCACATGCATGAGAAAGTTTGACAGGAAATAATGAAGACCATAGAAGAATTGATGCATTGAGTTATGTATGGTATTGAAGGAGAATATTAAAAGTACCGTGGACTGCCAAAAGAACAAACAAATCTATGTTGGAAGAAGTACAGCCAGAAGTACATCCTTAGAAGCCAGGATGGCCAGACTTCGTATCTCATACTTCGAACATATTATCAGGAAGGATCAGTCCCTGGAGAAGGACATCATGGTTGTTAAAGTGGAGGGTCAGCGAAAAAGAGGAAGACTCCCAATGAGATGGATTGGCACAGTGGCAGCAGCAGTGGGCTCAAGCATAGCAATGATTGTGAGGTTGGCACAGGACAGGGCAGTGTTTTGTTTTGTTGTGCATAAGGTTGCTATGAATCGTTACTGATTCAATGGCACCTAACAAGAACAACAACAATCGTTTTGAAACCTATGTTCCTTATTTCTTCATTCTCTCATTCTTTATTCATCCACCCAACAAGTATTTTTAATTTCTAAAACATGCAATCACCACCAGTCATCCAGTTGTACGGTGGTGGCTAGAGTGTTACTATTATGTTGGAAGCTATGCTAATGGTATTTCAATACCAACAGGGCCACCCGTGGTGGTCAGGTTTCAACGGAGCTTCCAGACAAAGAAGAAAGACCTGGTGATCTGCCTTGGAAAATTAGACAATGAAACCCCTATGGACCGCAACAGAATATTGTTTGTTATGTTGTTGTTGAGTGTCCTCTAGTTGGTTCTGATTCATAGTGACCCTGTATTGTATATGTAGGGAGTGACTGGTGAGTTTGAACTGCCGACCTTGTGGTTCAAACCGACCTTTCAGTCTAGCGGTTTATCCTACAGCACCACACCAGGACTCCATTGTTTGATATTGTTGTTGTTGTTGTTAAGTGCCACCGAGTTGGTTCTGACTTATAGCAACCCTGTATAGGATTTCTGAGGAACAGTTGGTGGGTTTGAACTCCCAATCTTGTGGTTCAAAGTTCTGTGTTGATCCTACAGTGCCACACCAGGAAAATTAGTTCCCTAGGGTGGAAGGAAGGAGTCCTGGGGGCACAGTAGTTAAGCACTCAGCTGCTATCTATGACAGCTGTTGAAACCACCAGCTAACTGTGAAAGAAAGATGTGGCAGTCAGCTTAGGTAAAGATTCGCAGTCTTAGAAACTCTATGGGGCCTTTCTACTGTCCTCTAGAGTGACTATGAGTTAGAATCAACTAGACAGCAGTGGATTTAGGCTGGGAGGCACACAAAATACACTGGTGGATACCAACTATTGTGAAGCTCGTGTATAAACCAGCCGGGTTTATTCCCTTGCAATTGCGATGAGTAGAAGTTGATGCCACGTAGTAGCTAACAGCAACAACATATGCAATTCAGTGCCTCTTAGGAGAGTTACAGTTTCATGAGCACAGACCTTGTCTTAAGAAGCTTACAGTTCTTAATATGTAAAAATACTAGATACCTGGTTAAATTTGAATGTCAAATGAGCAGCATATAATATTTCAATATAAATATGTCCCATGCAATGGGACACAGTAGAGGATAAGTAATATAAAGTACGAGAATGAGTCAAAAATTATCCGCACTTTGGCTGTAGAATCATTTTAATCAACTTTTAGAAAAGACACAAAAAATCAATTTTTGACACCATCTTCTTGCTTTTCAGTACACTTTGTCCATTTGTCAAAAGCTTTCTTATTCTCTTATTAAAAAACGTTTTAGGCTGAGCTGTACTGCTGTCTTCACTTCATCAAAGGTGAATCTTCGAAGGACTGCTTTCAGGGGACCAAACCCGTGAAAGTCTGATGAAGCAATATTACGACTATAGGGAGGATGCTTTAACACCTTAAAACCTCAAAATGGAAGTTTTTGCAATGTCAACAGTGTGGGTATGCATTGACGTGCAAGATCACGATGCCCTTGGATAGCAATCCTCTGCGTTTAATCCGAAATTTAGGCTTCAGTTCTTCAGTGAGCATTTCACTACTAATTGTTGAAGTTTTTTTCTGATGGTGTTCCAATACTGGCCCTTGAGAATCCAGAAAACTGTAAACATCAATTTTACAGCTAATGGTTGACTTTGAACTTTTTCTTGGTTAGCGATTGAGGATGTTTCCATTCCATATTCTGTTGTTTACTCTCAGGCTAGTAGTGATGAATCCATGCCCTATCACTAGTAAAGATTTTTTAAAAGAAACTTTTACCTTTTTTCCAGTATCGGCCCAAATTTTTTTTACAGATGTCCAAGCGCTTCAGTTTATGCTCTTCCGTGAATTGTTTTGGTACCCATCTCACACAAACTTTTCAAAACCCAAGTCTGTCGTGGATTATTTCATAGAGAGAGCCATGGCTGATTTGCAAATAATTTGCCACATAATCTACTCACTGGTCTATTCAATGTTATCATCTACATGTACATGGATGTGGACAGGTAGTTCAATAAACCCAGTGTGGATAATTTTTGACTCACCTGCGTAATATAATTTATAAAATAATATACAGAGTGTTGCTGGAGAGTTTGCTTAAGTGCTAATTAGACTGATCTAGAAATAGTTACATGCCCAATCTTGTTCTAGGGAAAAACAGAATTATTTTAAGATCGTTTGTTGCTATTATATGTGCCGTGGAGTCGGTTCCGACTCATAGAGAGGACCCTGTACAGGGTTTCCGAGGCTGTAAATCTTTACGTGAGCAGAAAGCCTCATCTTTCTCCCGCAGAACAGCTGGTAGTTTCAAACTGCTGACCCTTAAGGTTTGCAGCCCGATTCCTAATCACTATGCTCCCAGAGCTCCTTATTTTAAGATTGTTGTTGTTGTTAGGTGCCATCGAGTCGGTACCGACTCATAGCGAAAGAAACACTGCCCGATCCTGGGCCAACTGTTGCCATCGATGCTGCCACTTGGCCAATTCATCTCGTGGGGGTCTTCCTCTTTTTCTCTGACCCTCCACCTTGTCAAACATGTTATCTTTCTCCAGCGAGTGGTCCCTCCTGACAATATGTCCGTAGTATTAGAGACAGAAGTTTGGCCATCCTGGCCTCCAAGGAGCACTCTGGCTGCACTTCTTCCAAAACGGATATATTGGTTCTTTTGGCAGCCCATGGCACTGTTGTTGTTGTTGTCAAGTGCCGTCGAGTCGATTGCGACCCTGTACAGGGTTTCCAAGGAGTAGCTGGTGAGCTTGAACCGCCGACCTTGCAGTTCAAACGGCTTTGCAGTCTGGCGCATTTAACCCACAGCGCCACACCACTAGCGTTCTAAAATTCATCAGCCGGTTTTTGCCATCTGCAGTCGCTAGATGCCGCTACAATCACATCCCTGAAACCATAGATTAAAAGGTGACCATTCCGCCAGAGAGCCTTTATCCGAGCCACTCTAGGTCCTCTCCTTCCTGCTCAGATATCATTCGCTGGAAGAGACGTAACGTGTGGGTGAGTACTGTAGCTCTCTCGAGAGTGAAACCAAGTCTCGCGATGTGATTTTTGCTTAGCGACTGACAACAGGCTGGTTACTCCAGGTGGGATTCCCTAAAGCGGTCTTGGTCTGAAATTGGAGTGAGACCCCAGTCCTAGGCTGGGGTTCTTTCCATATAGAGGAGACGGATTCAGAGGGGCTACAGGTAATTCATACTCACCCTAGTAGAAAATTCCTCCTCTATTTCAGAGGAATTTTAAAGGATTACCCTCCCCCCTTGAAGTCTTGGTGTGGCGCTATGGGATCAGCAATGAGCTGATAACCACCAGGTCGGCAGTTCCAACCCATCACCTGCTCCATGGAAACCCTATACAGGGTCGTTATGAGTCGGAACCGACTCTACAGCACTTAACAACAACGCTTCCCTCTAAGGCGCTTGATGGGACAGTGGGTTAAGCGTTTGACTGCCGTCAGCAAAGTTGTTACTATGCGGAGTTGGTTCCAACTCATAGCAACCCTATATAGGGTTTCCGAAACTGTAAATCTTTGCGGGAGCAGAAAGCTTTATCTTTCTCCCACGCAGCGGCTGTTGAGCTTTAACTAGCGAGCTTGTGGTTTGCAGTTCATTGCTTATCCGAGGCGGTTCAAATCCACCAGTCGCTCCTCAGGAGGAACATTAGGCTATCTGCTATTGTAAAGATTCACTCTTGGAAATTCTGTGGAACAGTTCTAATCTGTCCTATACTCTGTAAATCAGAATTGACTTGATGGCAGTGGGTGGACCCTTCCTACTCCCCTCTACTCTTCCTGTGTCTCTGGCAACTGTTCTCTGAACCTTCCCAACTTTCCATCAACCATCCTGTTTCCTTTCCTAGAAACTTAAATAGGATCCTTCCTGCAAGACAGGTGAAAGATCTGGTGATGCTTTCGGTATTATTGATTAGGACCAAGCGATTGGAGTTTGGTTTCTCCTCAGGGACCTCTACACTAGAAGTGATCCTAGACACAGAACTCTTTCTAGAACCTCTAATTATTTCTCATGTGAAACCCATCAGCCTTGGGAAAACCGACAGAACTTCTTGAGGAGGGAGCCTCCATCGACATAAAAATAAGTTTGCTTTTGGGGTGTATCTTACAGCATTGAATGGCTGTTGCAGAAATTTTCTTTAATTTTTCTCCTTAGTTTCCCGTTACTGAGCTAGTTGTTCTAAGCAAGGAGGCCACTATTTGCTAAACAGGGCTGCAGCAGAATGACTTAGCTTGACCTATGGTCAAGAAGCCTTAAGGACAGCTTGGCTGAGGGTTAAGATTTTATACAAACTTGGTGTCTTGGGTGAGGAAGGAACCAAAATTGGTTTAGAATTGCACCTCTGGCAGAGTGCTTAATGCCCCATGACATGTCTCCTTTTGCTTAGACCAAGATTGTTGAAAACCAGCCATATGATGAGCGTCTAGATATTAACGACTCTGAAGAGGTTGCAAGTATTTTTACTCCAACCTCAAGGCCCCAAGGTAAGAGTGGAATGAAGAAAGAAGAAATGGTTCTCAGAACCAAGTGTAGGATGGATTCATGGTTTAGGCCAAGAAGATTTTATTTTATACCAGCAAATGTTGATTTTCAAAGTCAAGTAATTGCCATTGTTTCTGTTTTCTAACTAGTTAAGGTGTGAAGCATTGTCTTCTAGATTATAGGATCTTCCTCCAACTTTACCAATATAAGAGTGCTTCAAAAAGCTCATGGAAAAATTGAATGAAAACATAATGGATGTAACCATGGCAATAAAACGATATATGATAGGATGAATGTAAAACTAATGTTCTCCCATGTAAACTATCACATAATTCACAGTAAAATATTAACCAAAAAAAAAGCATAACAGATGGAGTTGTACATATAATGAGCATCCTATTGACTTCACTCATAATTGGTCAGAATGTTTACAGAATGCAATTCTTTCCAAGTTGAAGATAGTGAACTTTTAGGGAAAATGCAGTTTTAACTATAGTGAATTAACAAATAGGTACACTAAATTGTAGACATCAGCAGGTTTTTTTAAAAATAAAATAATGGAATCTTTCCACTAACTTTTTGAAGCACTCTCATATTCCTTCTTGTTGTTGTAAAGTACCGTGGAGTCAGTTCCGACTCATAATGACCCTGCACAGGGTTTCCGAGGCTATAAACCTTTATAGGAGCAGAACGCCTCATCTCATATTCCTTATTACCACTTAAATCATGATAATGTTTTGCTCACAGTCTGCCAAGAGTTCTTTTTTTTTGTCTTATTTTGTTTTGTTTTTAACTTGTCAATATGTTTACTTATTTTTCACAATGTTTTCATAATCTGTACATAACCTGGACTCCAATCAAAATCTCAATGTAATCTTTTTAGAAAACTTGACACCATTCATTTATTCAACTATTATTGTTTTTGAATACCTACTATGTGCCAGTAAGGAGCTCTGGTAGCATAGTGGTTACGAATCGAGCTGTGAACCTCAAGGTCAGCAGTTCGAAACTACCAGCTGTTCCACGGGCGAAAGATGAGGCTTTCTCCTCCCTTAAAGACTTACAGTCTCAGAAACCCTGTACGGGGTTGTTATGATTCGGAACCGACTCCATGGCACATAACCACCACCACCACTATGTGCCAGGCACTGGGTGTAAGTGTGAAACAAAAGACATTGTCCCGGTCACCCTAATGTTTAGAATCATGAGAGGCAGATGATAAATGAATAATTATAAGTGTGATGAGGCAGTCCTGTTGTGGCACAGTAGGATCAGCACTGGACTGCTAGTAACATGGTTGGCAGTTCAAACCCCCCAACCACTCCTAAGAAACCCTACTCAGGGTTGCTAGGAGTCAGAACTGATTTGACGGCACTGAACAACAACAGAAGTGTGATAAGTGCATTGATGGAGGCAAATAGTTTGCTGTTATGGAGAATATTGGTGAGGGGGATTTACTGCTTTTGGTAGGGTGATCAAGGTGTCATGATGACATTTAAATTGGGACTGGAAAGATGAGAAGGATCCAAACACCAAGAGAAAGTAGGCCAGGAAGAGGGAACAGCAAGTGAAATGGGAGAAGCTCCAGAGGTTAGAAAGAGCAGTGTAGAGTAGGGAGATGGTATGTGGTTAGAACAGAGACATGCGTAGGAGGCATAATAAGCAGGGTTTTGGAGGTCAAGTTGCTGTTGTCTGTAGAATGGATGGAAGAGTGTAAAGATGAAAGTCAAGAACCAGTTGGAAGAATCATTGCAATGACTGTCTTGAGAAAATAGTGACTTGGACTGTGGTGGGGAAATTAAGAATAGAAAAGGCTACTCTAAAATACAGTGTGGTCCCTAAGGCTTACTGATGAACTGGATTTTTGTTGAGTTAGGACTCAAGCATGACATTTAGGTTTTTGACTTGCATATATTTAACTATGCTTTTGTCACTTAAATATGTTATAATTCATTTTCAGTTTGGGCTAACTTAGACACACACACCCCTCCACCAAAAAATAAAAGTTTAATTTGCATTTATTTGATTTAGAAACCATTTAACATGTTTTCATGCCAGTTAATATGCTACATCTGATTATGCATTTAATTGTTCAGAACATTTTTGGTGCTTTTATCTTATTTATGACTAACTCTCATTTGCTAGGCATGAGGTCTGTTCGTGCCACATAACTTTTCTCAAGTCATTGCCAAGAAAGCCCTGAGTGGTAAATATTATTGACCACATTACAGTGGTGGGAATACTTAGACTCAGAGAGCTTAACCCATTTTGTCCAAGTGATTGAGTTGCCCTTCAAACCCAGTTTTCTAATTCTAAATCCAGCACTGTTCACTTTACTAGATACTGACTTCATTTTACCCATATGTAAACTAAGGGTAGAGTTTAATTTGTGTGTAATGAAAGATAATTGACTGGTATGATGTCACACTCAATGCATTAAGCATAGTAAATGCTTAGTAAATAGATCTTGAATTGACAGAGTCATGATTAGCAGTGAGTCTCTGTCCTGTAGCCAGATGTTCTTATGAACCCTGTTTCTGTATAAAATAGAGTATAAAAGGATATAAACAAATATACTTGTCTTTAAAATAATTTTAACAATAACCTTAAAGGACAACTTTTTCTTCTAAGGACCTTCTCATTCTGTCCATCTTCCTAACAAGACGATGGCTGATAACAGCAGTGATGAGTATGAAGACGAAATTAGCAAGGTAAAGTGTAACCTACAACAGCTTGTAGAATTTCTGCTTGAGTTTTCTCTGTGTTAACTTTTTATTGTGATTTGGGTGAAGGTTTACAGAGTAGATCATCAGTTTTACACTAGACAATTCATACACATTTTGTTTCATGTCACTGATTGCAATCTCCTTGGTATAATATTACTTAGCCCACTTCCTCTGTTTCCTGTTTTCATTCCTCTTCCTTTCTGAACTTTTGTAAATTTTGTCCTGGGGTAAATGTTGCCCTTTTGATCTCAAATGGTTGATTAATCTATGTTATTTGAACTTAGAATTGTTATTTGTACTGTTACTGTTTCTTTTATTATTGTTGTTGTTAGGTGGTGTCATTTCGGTTCCGACTCACAGCAACTCTGTGCACAACAGAACGAAACACTGCCTGGTCCTATGCCATCCTCACAATCATTACTGTATTAATGGCTGGGATATTGATTTTTATGCATTCATTTCATTTTGACAACTTCTAATTTTCCTAGATTCATGTTTGGTACATTCCATGTTCAGATTATTAATGGATATTTTGAGCTGCTTCTTCTCATTGTGAGTTGTGCTGCATCAGCAAATAAAGGTCCTGAAAACTTTAAAAAGCTTTACTCCATTTGTGTCATAATGGTCAACTCTACTAATTTGAGAAGGCAGATCTTCTCCAGTCATATTTTGAGTGCCTGGCACTATATCTAACATTATTCTGGTTCTAGTCCTAATGTTTTAATATTCAGTATTTTGGTACATTTTAAGTTCTATCTTGAAGTATACTGCTGTCTGTAGGGATAGGATAGTATCCATACACCAATAAGGAAGACCAAGGATCTTTGGCAACATAGTGGTTACAAATCGGGCTGCTAACTTTAGAGTCAGCAGTTCGAAACTACTAGCTGTTCTGTGGGAGAAAGATGAGGCTTTTTGCTCCCGTAAAGATTTATAGCCTCGGAAACTCTGTACAGGGTCACTGTGAGTTGGAATCAACTCCACCGCACATAACAACAACAAATAAGGAAGACCAGTTAATACCACTATTATTCAAGTTTAAATATCAACCACTAAAGCCAATGATAGTGAATTTGAAAAATTCTACCAACTTCTTCAGTCTGAAATTGATCAAACATACAATCAAGATGTGTTGATAATTACTGGAGGTTGGAATGCAAAGGTTGGAAACAAAGAGAAAGGATCAATAGTTGGAAAATATGGTCTTGGTAATAGAAATGATGCTGGAGATCACATGATAGGATTTTGTACATCAATGAGTTATTCATTGCAAATACCTTTCAACACAAAAGATGACTATGTACATGACCTTCACCAGATAGACTACACAGAAATCTTGAGAGCCAAAATATGATTTTGAACATGTCCCACCTGATTTTAGAGATCATCTCAAGAATAGATTTGATTAATTAGATACTAATGACAGAACATATTTTGGTTCTCGTGGACTTGTTTTTATTTTCTTCAGCTTCAGTTTGAATTTGCTTATTAGTAATTGATGGTCTGTTCCACAGTATGCCCCAGGCCTTGTTTTGACTGATGATATGGAGCTTTTGAGATCCTCTGAAGAACAGATTTGATACATTAAACACTAAAGACCGAAGAACAGAAGAGTCATGGGATAACATCAAGAACATCATACAGGAAGAAAGCAAAAATTCATTAAGAAGACAAGAAAGAAGGAAAAGGTCAAAGTGGATGTCAGAAGAGACACTGAAACTTGCTCTCCAGCATAGAGATGCAAAAGCAAATGGAAGAAATAAGGAGGTACAAGAGCTGAACAGAACATTTTAAAGATCACTCAGAGAAGATAATGCCAAATATTACAACAAAATGTGCAAAGATCTGGAATCAGAAAACCAAAAAGGAAGAACACACTCAGCATTTCTCAAGCTGGGGGAACTGAAGAAAAAAT